TCGTTTGTTTCTAGATTTATGAATGAAGATCTGTTTGGATTTTTATGTTTTGAATTAAGATAATGTCATTATCGCCATCATCATTACCGTTATTATTATTATTATTACTATTATCATTATTATTATCATTACTTTTATTATTATCACTATTATTATTATTATTATTATTGTTATTATTATTGTTATCATTATTATCAATATTATTATTATTATAATTATTACTATTATTATTATCATCATCATCATCATCATCTTTATCACCATTATTACCCTCATTATTATTGTTATTACCATTACTATTATTGCTATTGTTATTATCACTGCTATTATCATTATTATTACCATCATACTAATATTATTAATATCACCATTATCATTAACATTATACTATCATATAATCATTATTCAAAGTTACAATAGTAGTGACAACAATACAAATATTAACAGTAGTATTTTCTACTTCTATTCAGACTGATATCAAGGTACATAGTATTAATTCCCCTTAGTAATCCAGAAAGCTTTTATCATGATTATCATCCCATGGCATTCCATTCACTTTTTTTTCTTTTTCTTATTCTTCATCTTCGTTTTATTATTTTTATCATTCTTATACTTCTTATTTTCATTCTTCTCCTTCTCCTTTTCCTCCTCTTATTCGTCTTTTTCTCCTATTGTTTTCACTTTCTACTTCGTCTCCTACTCCTCTTTTTTTCTTATTCTTCTTCTTTTCTCCTCCTCCTCCCCCTTTTCTTCTTATTTTATTCTTCTTCGTCTTCTTTTCTCCTTTTCCTTCTCCCTCTCCTCCTCCTCTTTCTCCTTCTCTTCCCTTTTCTTCTTTTTCTTCTTCTTCTTCTCCTTCTTCCTTCTCTTTCTCCTCCTCCTCCTCCTCCTCTTTCTCCTCCTCCTCCTCCTCTTTCTCCTCCTCCTCCTCCCTCTCCATCTCCTTTTTTCTTTTTCTCCTCCTTCTTATTCTTCTTTTACTCTTCTTGTCTCATGATTTTTTCTCATGGTTCATCAAGACCGACGAACAACAAAACTTCACGATTAACAACCTTGCAACATTTTTTTTTATCGTCTGCAACATTGCTTTATCTCATTCCTTTTTTTTTTTTTTTTTTTTTTTTTTTTTGCTTTAATTGGGATCTTTTTATGTGAAAAAGTTTCGAAGAAAATACGAAGGGAAGAAATTACAATTCATAAGAAAGGAGGTTAAAGAGAATCATTCAAAAAAGAGAGAAAATCTGTAATGAATTTTAAGCATTTTAAACAAATGAAAAATGAATGAACGAGGGGGGGGGGGAGAAAAAATGAATAGAAGATAAGAAGGGGCCGTTAAGATGACAAAGAGGTTTTTAAATCTCTTGAATAAAAATATATAAATAAACTGTCGAATGGGTAGGGGAGACAGATAGATAGGTAGATTAGTAAATAGATACGAAGATAAAAAAGTAGGTAGATAGATACATAGATAAATACATGCATAGACAGATGAAGCGAAAGAGAGAGAGAGACAAAAATAAAAGTGTGTGTGTGTGAGAGAGAGAGAGAGAGAGAGAGAGAGAGAGAGAGAGAGAGAGAGAGAGAGAGAGAGAGAGAGAGAGAGAGAGAGAGAGAGAGAGAGAGCGAGAGAGAGAGAAAGAAAGAAAGAGAAAAAAAAGAGAGAAAGAGAGAAAGCGATAGATAGATAGAGAGAGAAACAGACAGAAAGATAACGAAAATGACAACGAACGAATGGGAGAGAGAGAGACAAAACGAACGAGAGAGAGAGAGAAAGAGAGCACCAGCGTTATCATGTTATGAATATGCATATCTATTTTTTCCTCTCCCTAAGCAATCTCGATTAAAACTCGACCCTAAAAATAGTTTTAAAGGTGATCGTGAAATGTAAATGAAAGAACGAGAAAACGGAGTTGGTATACTCCCTCGATTTTCAGAAAAGGGAGAAAGAGGAATGGGGGAGAAGAGAAAATTAAAAGCAAACGGCATTTTTTTTAAACAATAAAAGTAATTTGCATACGTTCAGACACACACTTACGCGACCACATATGCCTTCTTTTCTTCATCGGTACATAGTACATCAAGTTTTTATTACAATACGTTTTTTTTATGAAAGATGGAATAATGCAATGTCGCATTCATATAGATATAGATATATAACCTACGTTCACGGCCTAGCCAGGGAGGATTATTATATATCTATATTTATGGGGCATTGCATTATTCCATCTTATATACACTTCACTGACTTTCCACCGAGTGCCCACGGGGAGTATGTGTAAAACCTTGATATCATTACTCATGTATGAATAGATAGGTAATGTCTATGGAACTAGGTAGCTCCTAGTTACACTCTCTTTTTAGCGGGTCGCGTGGCATGGTTGGTTTAGTACTGGCCCTCCGGTTTCATACCCGGAGTGGCCTACGTTCGAGGGCTGGTCAGGGAGGATTGTTATGAATACGCTTTGTGTTACAGATACGTTTCACATTCCATATTTCAGCTACGTTTCATTTTACAAAAAAAAAAAAAAAAAAAAAAAAAAAAAAAAATCGTTTCATACTACAACCACGTTTTTATTACAAAACGCTCGTCTTATCTCTGTCACAGGCAACGTTGCCAAATGCTTTTATCGGCAGTGCCAAACCAAAGGACAACAGTTTATGAGACTTTTAATAAATAAGACTTAAAAAGAAATCTTATAAGAGACATGAAATAATAGGAGGGTAATATACATTAAATAAAGGTGTCTAATAATATTTAAGTGCATTGACAGTGAAGAACAGAAACAAACAAAGATTTTTCCTCGATTTCTACTGCTCGCTCGGGTGGCAGAGTAGGATATAAACCTTTTTGTATTTAGTAAGATATTTGCTGCATAAGTTTTGTTTAGCTTTGCTTTGCTTTATTGATTTGTTTCATTATTTTACAGTCTATGATAATCTTCAGTTACACTTATCTTCAATTGTATAGAGAATAATAATTTATTGTGAAGAAACACACACACACACACATATATGTGTCTGAGTGTGTGTATATAACACAGACACAGTAACACACACAGTAAAACACACACGCAGTAATACACACACACACACACATACACAGATATACATACATGTGTGTAGTTATATATATACATAGGATATACATACATGTATATATACATATATATATATATATATATATATATATATATATATATATATATATATATATATGCATATATATGTGTGGGTGTGGGATGTCCACAGAATGTCTTACCAGATGTGGATAGATAAACTCGCGTAAATCCTTTGGTGATATATTGACAGTAGAGACTAGATACACGAGGCTCGGAAGTGACGTACATCCGTCCCGTTCCGTGGTGACAGTGCGACTGACTTCTGTCTACAATAATAACAGTGTTGCCATATCATTGGTCCATACACAGTTTGTTCACTAATATGTTACACATATACACACATCTCCCCCCTCCTCACGTTCATAAGCCTATGAAAGGGAAGCAATACGTTGAGAACGTCGTCTGGCGCCATAACTTCTGGGTTGACGACATCTACGTGGGCAAGGAGAATCTTGGGCTGGGCGGTCGGGGTCGTCCTCACGCTTGTCCTCCACAGGTGCGTGAGATGGAATGGGCACAACTCGAAGGAATCGACGATTTCTCCAAAGTACTCGTCCTGAAGTCGTCCGGAGAAGGTAGTCGCGGCTCCGACCAATTCCCATGACTACAGCTACTTTATTCCATCGTCTGGAGACAGGATCTTGTATCCGGACTTGCGATCCAATCTGCAGTGGCTGTAATGGTCTGGCGTGCGAGTCGTATAATGCCTTAGCAGCTTGTGTCCTCATAGCTGCACGGCGATCACACCCTTCTGTCTTTGCTTGCCATTCTGGAGCAAAAGATGAGCTGTGGGCTGGAACACGGGAACGTAGAGGGTGGCCAAACAAAACTTGCGCAGGGGAACGGCCATCCTGACGTGGTGTGTTACGGAGTTCCAACAATCCACGGTCGAAAGCTTCATTCAGGATACCAGAAGGGGCGACCTTCAAAACTAGGTGTTTCAAAGCCTTCACTGCAGCTTCTGCATGACCATTACTTTGTGGATAATGGGGAGAGGATGTATCATGGCGAACACCCCATCGACACAGAAAGTCATTAAAATCTCGGCTCGAAAACTGTGGTCCACCATCAGTGCGCAGCCGAAGAGGGACACCTAGGTCGCGGAAGAATCTTCTGAAGAAACTTATAGTGGCGGCAGCTGTAGTGTCAGTGCCACAGCATGCTATCACAGGCCATCCTGAGAGTCGGTCAACGTAAACAAGGAAAGACTTCCCCGCTGCACTGAAAAAGTCAGCTGACACAGACTCAAAGGGTTTGGTGGGTGCTTCTTCTGTCAGCATGGGCTCTTGTTGCTGACTTGGCAGAAGTACTTGGCAAGGCTCACATGATCTGACTGCATTTGTGATATCTGAATTGATACCAGGCCACCATACAGTTTGTCGGGCACGACGTTTTGTGGCCTCCACGCCACGGTGACTGTCGTGTAGGCGAGCCAACACTTCTCGGCGAAGGGTAGAAGGAACTACAATGCGGGGTCCCAAAAGGATAAGGTCCTCATCGTGGTACAAATTGTCACGTTCCTTCCAATATGGGAGTAGGTCAGGGTCCAAATTGTCACGGTTGGCAGGGAAACCATGAGTCACTTTGTCGAGGAGCTTGACATATACCGAATCTTCGCGTGCTGCTGCTCGCATCTTATCAAGCACCAAGTCACTTGTCTGTATTGTCCCTGATACTGTGCTCAGAGTGGCCATACGCTGAGTGACTACACATCTGACATAGTGACGTGTGTCATCACTAAGAGCGATATCTTCAGGGGATGGTGAATCCACAGGAGCACGGGAAAGGGCATCTGGGATTGAGAGTTCCTTTCCTTTACGCCATGTAGCTGTGAAGACATAACCTGCTATCTTCTCTTTCAGGCGTTGGAGTCGGGGGTTATCAATAGCGTCTAATGTGTACGAGTTAAGTATGGGCACCAGAGGTCTATGGTCTGTCATCAGGGTGAAGTGGGGCAAACCAAGCAGGTAATATTTGCACTTCATCATAGCCCATACTGCAGCCACTAATTCCAACTCAATTGTGGCATATCTCGTCTCCACATCTGCTAGAAACCGGGAACCACATTGCACTAATCGCCATTCTCCAGGCTTATGTTCTTGCAACAATGCATAGCCTACACCATAGAGACGGGAAGCATCTGTCTGAAGTATGGTCTTGAGTGCTGGGTCGAAATGGGCGAGAACAGGTGGTTGTGAGAGAGCTTTCTTCACACGGCTGAATGCTGCATCATGGTCAGGAGTCCATGTGAAGGTACGCTTGGGACTCATAAGAGGGCGTAAAACATCAGCAGACTCGGCAATTGCAGGGGTGAATTCAGCCAGTTGGTTCACCAAGCCCATGAATGATCGGAGGTCTGTCAGGTTAGCTGGCTTTGGGAATTCGGCAATGGCACGAACTTTCTCTTCTTCAGCTGCAATTCCATTTCCTGACAGGGTATATCCACAGAATGACACTTCTGGGGCTGCGAGTACAAACTTGTCAGCGTTCATGGTAATGCGATGTGCACGGCATCTCATAAGAACTTCCTGTACTCGCTTTAGGTGGGATGCATAGTCCTCATCCCATAGAAGGACGTCATCTACCACCTTCACACACTGTTGTACTCCGTCGAGTGCTATGTCACCTCGACGACAGTACTCATCACCTGTGGCTGCAAAGCCCATGGGTCCACGACAAAAGCGGAAGCGACCATAAGGGGTGATGAATGTTGTTAAGTGTTGATCTTGCTCTTCTAAAGGTATTTGCCAATAGCCATATAAGGCATCCAAGGTGGAAAAGTACCTCGCCTTAGGGTTGATACGACGAACAGCATCATGAGGCGTTGGTGAGGGATGGGCAGGGCGTAGCACTTGACTGTTGAGTTTAGTGAGGTCAACAGTGATCCTGACTCCTCCATTAGGCTTAGCTACAGCCACTAAGGGGTGACACCATTGTGATGGTTCATCACCTGCAGGAGTAATGATGCCCTGAGCCACCATGGAGTCCAATTCTGTCTTGACGTCATCTCGCCAGGCAAGGGGAATGACACGGGGCGTGTGCACTGCAAATGGTTTGGCATTTTCCTTTATGAAGATCCTCATAGGGGTTCCACACATCTCCTTGAGCTTCATACCCTGTCGGAAATCTTCCTTCGTCATGAGAACGTCTGGAAATTCTCGAAGGAAAAACTTCTTCGCTTCATCAGGGGATGCTGAGAATGGAGGAGGTCTTGGTGGATGTAACGGGAACTGTTGTGATGGTTGAGGTGGAGCTGGCTGTTGGCCTGTGGCCTCCTGGGGTGTCACTGAATGGTGATCAGGCATAACTTTGGGAGTTGTAACAATTCTTGCTACCTCTCCAGGTTGAACTGTTTGCAGGTTTTCACTGGGAAAGCGTTTACCATGCTTTCTGCCTAGGATCTGTCGTGGGTAGTCCTTGGGGATAATTTGTAGCTGTTGTGTGTGGCTCCAAGACAGCAGAGGTCGTGGTAAAAACTCAACACATTTATCCAACCCTGTATGGTGACTGTACCATACGTCATGCTTGCATATAATGATCCAAGGACAGTACAGTTCATATGCGATCCATCAGGATTATGCAGCCCGAAGTTTGTAGATTTGTCCAGGTTGTCTGTGGGTAATCCTAGAGACTTGAGAAGGGTAACATCCATCACGGTTGTGTCAGATCCTGTGTCAGGTATGCAGTCTATATATGCTGAAGAGTCTCCTGACTGCACTAACAATCTAATCGTCGGAGATGCAGGGCCTACACGGGATTCAGTTTCAACTGCGCAGACCTTGGCTATGTTGTGCGAAACTTGGGAAACTGAAAGAACATTACCTTCTGTGGGTGGCATCCTTTTCTTCTTTGATGACTGACAACGGCTGGCAAAGTGACCTACTTTGCCACAGGTACGGCAGGTGCTAGTAGAAGCAGGGCACTTCTTCTTGACGTGTGTCCTGTATCCACAATGGTCACAAAGTTCTTTTGGCTGTGGTTTTGGAGACTTAGCAGGGCGACTGTTGGCTTTTCGGTAGTGTCCTTCAGTGTTACCCTTGGCAGCTCGCCGCTTTTGCTGCTTATAAACAGACAATGCACGTGTAGCTGGTTGCAATGGGCGTAATTCTTGGGTGGTAGACTCGGCAGCCTCACGAGATCTACACACAGTTATTACGTCATCGAGGGTGGCGTCGGACTTCATCTCTAATAGGCGTTGTTTGGTCTCTTCATCTTGAACACCTATCAAGATGGCATGCTTGATTTGGGTCTCGATACAAGCATTGCTATGTCCTTTACAGAGATCCACATCGTTAGCAGCTTGCTTAAGGCGTACATAAAAATCTGTAAATTTCTCATTGTGGGCCTGCCTGCACTGGGAAAAGGTGAGACGTCGTAAAGCCTCATTCTTTTGGTCTCGAACGAAGTTCTGGATTCGCTGGAGGACATCCCTGAGAGGCAAATCTGAGGCTGGAGACACGCCTAAACTGTGCTCCAGTGTTCCTCTCATGTCAGCAGATAAGCACGCACGCAAGTGTATTAATTGCTTATGCTGAGGCAGGTTATGCAGGTCAATCATGACAGCATAGTCATCCCATCGTTGTCGCCATTCTTTGTACGACCGCAGAGTAACATCTTGGGCGAGGGGTGGGGGAGGCTGGACTGAAGCCTTCATTGCTGGAGTACCTGACGAAGGCGTCGAAGCCGGAAGGTCCGTGGCGACACCTACAGTCTGCGGGGGAGTGGGAGACGTGGTGAGGGTAGCAAACAGCTGCAAGAATCGTTGTTCCTCAGCCTTTCTTCTCTGCTCGTCGTCCTCTCTTCTACGTCTGTCTTCCTCCTGTCTTCGCCTGTCTTCCTCTTGTCGTCGGCGTTCCTCGTCTTCTTGTCGTCGGCGATCTTCCTCCCGTCGTCGTTCCTCGTCCTCTTGACGACGTTGTTTTTCCGCCTGTTTCCTCTCCTCCGCCTCTTGCCGCCAGATTTCCATCATTTGCGATAGTACATCCATGGGTGGCTGCGCTTCTGGTGGCGATGTCGAAGAGGGAGACGGCGTGACTTCCTCTTGTTTAGCCGCTGCTTTCGTCTTTTTAGGCATTTTGGTTTATATAAAGTATATTTTACGTTCGGAGTTTCCTCGTGGCGCCTCGCAGACGGACGCTGCGACGTCAGAGCTGTTGGGCACGGTCGGCCAATCCTGGGGCTCGACGTCACGAAGGGGCGGAGCTTCTTCTCTCGGGCGGTGTGGTGCGGCGAGAGGGCCAGTGCCGCTGCAGACAGGATGCGTGGTGATGTAGAGCGTAGCTCTGGCCAAAATGACCAAAAATGCGGGGGAATTGAATGACAGCTGTATTCCCTGCACATACTACACCACAAGAGATCACTGCACTTCACTAACACCCCACAAGTCACTCAGACACTTCACAACATGAGGGTAGTCACTGAACACGAGGACGCTGCATGGCTGAGTCACACTGCCGGTTCCTCTCTTTACTGTCTTTTCACTGAAACTCACTGCGCCATGTGGGTGTGGGATGTCCACAGAATGTCTTACCAGATGTGGATAGATAAACTCGCGTAAATCCTTTGGTGATATATTGACAGTAGAGACTAGATACACGAGGCTCGGAAGTGACGTACATCCGTCCCGTTCCGTGGTGACAGTGCGACTGACTTCTGTCTACAATAATAACAGTGTTGCCATATCATTGGTCCATACACAGTTTGTTCACTAATATGTTACACATATACACACATCTCCCCCCTCCTCACGTTCATAAGCCTATGAACGGGAAGCAATACGTTGAGAACGTCGTCTGGCGCCATAACTTCTGGGTTGACGACGTCTACGTGGGCAAGGAGAATCTTGGGCTGGGCGGTCGGGGGCGTCGTCACGCTTGTCCTCCACAGGTGCGTGAGATGGAATGGGCACAACTCGAAGGAATCGACGATTTCTCCAAAGTACTCGTCCTGAAGTCGTCCGGAGAAGGTAGTCGCGGCTCCGACCAATTCCCATGACTACAGCTACTTTATTCCATCGTCTGGAGACAGGATCTTGTATCCGGACTTGCGATCCAATCTGCAGTGGCTGTAATGGTCTGGCGTGCGAGTCGTATAATGCCTTAGCAGCTTGTGTCCTCATAGCTGCACGGCGATCACACTCTTCTGTCTTTGCTTGCCATTCTGGAGCAAAAGATGAGCTGTGGGCTGGAACACGGGAACGTAGAGGGTGGCCATCCTGACGTGGTGTGTTACGGAGTTCCAACAATCCACGGTCGAAAGCTTCATTCAGGATACCAGAAGGGGCGACCTTCAAAACTAGGTGTTTCAAAGCCTTCACTGCAGCTTCTGCATGACCATTACTTTGTGGATAATGGGGAGAGGATGTATCATGGCGAACACCCCATCGACACAGAAAGTCATTAAAATCTCGGCTCGAAAACTGAGGTCCACCATCAGTGCGCAGCCGAAGAGGGACACCTAGGTCGCGGAAGAATCTTCTGAAGAAACTTATAGTGGCGGCAGCTGTAGTGTCAGTGCCACAGCATGCTATCACAGGCCATCCTGAGAGTCGGTCAACGTAAACAAGGAAGACTTCCCCGCTGCACTGAAAAAGTCAGCTGACACAGACTCAAGGGTTTGGTGGTGCTTCTTCTGTCAGCATGGGCTCTTGTTGCTGACTTGGCAGAAGTACTTGGCAAGGCTCACATGATCTGACTGCATTTGTGATATCTGAATTGTTACCAGGCCACCATACAGTCTGTCGGGCACGACGTTTTGTGGCCTCCACTCCACGGTGACTGTCATGTAGGCGAGCCAACACTTCTCGGCGAAGGGTAGAAGGAACTACAATGCGGGGTCCCAAAAGGATGAGGTCCTCATCGTGGTACAAATTGTCACGTTCCTTCCAATATGGGAGTAGGGCAGGGTCCAAATTGTCACGGTTGGCAGAGAAACCATGAGTCGCTTTGTCGAGGAGCTTGACATATACCGAATCTTCGCGTGCTGCTGCTCGCATCTTATCAAGCACCAAGTCACTTGTCTGTATTGTCCCTGATACTGTGCTCAGAGTGGCCATATGCTGAGTGACTACACATCTGACATAGTGACGTGTGTCATCACTAAGAGCGATATCTTCAGGCGATGGTGAATCCACAGGAGCACGGGAAAGGGCATCTGGGATTGAGAGTTCCTTTCCTTTACGCCATGTAGCTGTGAAGACATAACCTGCTATCTTCTCTTTCAGGCGTTGGAGTCGGGGGTTATCAATAGCATTTAATGTGTACGAGTTAAGTATGGGCACCAGAGGTCTATGGTCTGTCATCAGGGTGAAGTGGTGCAAACCAAGCAGGTAATATTTGCACTTCATCATAGCCCATACTGCAGCCACTAATTCCAACTCAATTGTGGCATATCTCGTCTCCACATCTGCTAGAAACCGGGAACCACATTGCACTAATCGCCATTCTCCAGGCTTATGTTCTTGCAACAGTGCATAGCCCACACCATAGAGACGGGAAGCATCTGTCTGAAGTATAGTCTTGAGTGCTGGGTCGAAATGAGCGAGAACAGGTGGTTGTGAGAGCTTTCTTCACACGGCTGAATGCTGCATCATGGTCAGGAGTCCATGTGAAGGTACGCTTGGGACTCATGAGAGGGTGTAAAACATCAGCAGACTCGGCAATTGCAGGGGTGAATTCAGCCAGTTGGTTCACCAAGCCCATAAATGATCGGAGGTCTGTCAGGTTAGCTGGCTTTGGGAATTCGGCAATGGCACGAACTTTCTCTTCTTCAGCTGCAATTCCATTTCCTGACAGGGTATATCCACAGAATGACACTTCTGGGGCTGCGAGTACAAACTTGTCAGCGTTCATGGTAATGCGATGTGCACGGCATCTCATAAGAACTTCCTGTACTCGCTTTAGGTGGGATGCATAGTCCTCATCCCATAGAAGGACGTCATCTACTACCTTCACACACTGTTGTACTCCGTCGAGTGCTATGTCACCTCGACGACAGTACTCATCACCTGTGGCTGCAAAGCCCATGGGTCCACGACAAAAGCGGAAGCGACCATAAGGGGTGATGAATGTTGTTAAGTGTTGATCTTGCTCTTCTAAAGGTATTTGCCTATAGCCATATAAGGCATCCAAGGTGGAAAAGTACCTCGCCTTAGGGTTGATACGACATACAGCATCATGAGGCGTCGGTGAAGGATGGGCAGGGCGGAGCACTTGACTGTTGAGTTTAGGTGAGGTCAACAGTGATCCTGACTCCTCCATTAGGCTTAGCTACAGCCACTAAGGGGTGACACCATTGTGATGGTTCATCACCTGCAGGAGTAATGATGCCCTGAGCCACCATGGAGTCCAACTCTGTCTTGACGTCATCCCGCCAGGCAAGGGGAATGACACGGGGCGTGTGCACTGCGAATGGTTTGGCATTTTCCTTTATGAAGATCCTCATAGGGGGTCCACACATCTCCTTGAGCTTCATACCCTGTCGGAAATCTTCCTTCGTCATGAGAACGTCTGGAAATTCTCGAAGGAAAAACTTCTTCGCTTCATCAGGGGATGCTGAGAATGGAGGAGGTCTTGGTGGATGTAATGGGAACCGTTGTGATGGTTGAGGTGGAGCTGGATGTTGGCCTATGGCCTCCTGGGGTGTCACTGGATGGTGATCAGGCATAACTTTGGGAGTTGTAACAATTCTTGCTACCTCTCCAGGTTGAACTGTTTGCAGGTTTTCACTGGGAAAGCGTTTACCATGCTTTCTGCCTAGGATCTGTCGTGGGTAGTCCTTGGGGATAATTTGTAGCTGTTGTGTGTGGCTCCAAGACAGCAGAGGTCATGGTAAAGAACTCAACACATTTATCCAACCCTGTATGGTGACTGTACCATATGTCATGCTAGCATATAATGATCCAAGGACAGTACAGTTCATATGCGATCCATCAGGATTATGCAGTCCGAAGTTTGTAGATGTGTCCAGGTTGTCTGTGGTTAATCCTAGAGACTTGAGAAGGGTAACATCCATCACGGTTGTGTCAGATCCTGTGTCAGATATGCAGTATACATATGCTGAAGAGTCTCCTGACTGCACTAACAATCTAATCGTCGGAGATGCAGGGCCTACTCGGGATTCAGTTTCAACTGCGCAGACTTTGGCTATGTTGTGCGAAACTTGGGAAACTGAAAGAACATTCCCTTCTGTGGGTGGCATCCTTTTCTTCTTTGATGACTGACAACGGCTGGCAAAGTGACCTACTTTGCCACAGGTACGGCAGGTGCAAGTAGAAGCAGGGCATTTCTTCTTGATATGTGTCCTGTATCCACAATAGTCACAGAGTTCTTTTGGCTGTGGTTTTGGAGACTTGGTAGGGCGACCAGTGGCTTTTCGACAGGGTTCTTCAGTGTTACCCCTAGCAGCTCGCCGCTTTTTCTGCTTATAAAAAGACAATGCACGTGTAGCTGGTTGCAATGGGCGTAGTTCTTGGGTGTTAGACTCGGCAGCCTCACGAGATCTACACACAGTTATTACGTCATCGAGGACTTCATCTCTAACAGGCGTTGTTTGGTCTCTTCATCTTTAACACCTATCAAGATGGCATGCTTGATTTGGGTCTCGATACAAGCATTGCTATGTCCTTTACACAGATCCACATCGTTTGCAGCTTGCTTTAGGCGTACATAAAAATCTGTAAATTTCTCATTGTGGGCCTGCCTGCACTGGGAAAATGTGAGACGTCGTAAAGCCTCATTCTTTTGGTCTCGAACGAAGTTCTGGATTCGCTGGAGGACATCCATTAGAGGCAAATCTGAGGCTGGAGACACGCCTAAACTGTGCTCCAGTGTTCCTCTCATGTCAGCAGATAAGCACGCACGCAAGTGTATTAATTGCTTATGCTGAGGCAGGTTACGCAGGTCAATCATGACAGCATAGTCATCCCAGCGTTGTCGCCACTCTTTGAACGACCGCAAAGTAACATCTTGGGCGAGGGGTGGGGGAGGCTGGACTGAAGCCTTCATTGCTGGAGTACCTGACGAAGGCGCCGAAGCCGGAAGGTCCGTGGCGACAGCAGGCTGTGGTCCTACAGAG